TTATGATGTAAAACCTAGAGGAAGCCATACCGAAGGATTACCTACTATAGCGGCGGAACGCCTGGAAGCACTGGGTAGAATCCCAGACAATCCATGTAATATATGCAGCCAGCCAGCCAGCCAACCAACCAACCAACCAACCAACCAGCCAACCAACCAACCAAATTCATCAATCCATCCATCCATCCATCCATCCATCCATCCATCCATCAATCAATCAATCAATCAATCAATCAATCAATCAATCAATCAATCAATCAATCAATCAATTAATCAATCAATCAATCAATCAATCAATCAATCAATCAATCAATCAATCAATCAATTAATCAATCAATCAATCAATCAATCAATCAATCAATCAATCAATCAATCAATCAATCAATCAATCAATCAATCAACCAACCAACCAACCAACCAACCAACCCACCAACCGATCGATCGATCGATCGATCAATCAACCAATGAGTCAACCAATACATTACCTACAGTCAGATCCTCTGGGAATAGTCAATGCACCAAACGCGGGCGACGCCGCGCTTCGCCCTTCGTACCTTCGCTCGCCAGGCGCCTCTGCGCTGTTGGCGAACTGCGGCTTCCTTTGTCGCTTGGATGGGGGGGGGTTGGGGGGGTTGGGGGGGTTTGGGGGTTGGGGGGGTTGGGGGGTGTTAAGCTTTGCAGGAACACGTGGGTGGCTGTAATGACCAACCATTTTTTTAGGGTCATGGAGACTGCAGGTACCACCTTTTTGTGGCTGGCTTAAAGGGAGACCAGCAGGAAAACCACCATAATGGGCTGCCCCTAAAAAGAGACAACGTCAATATTCACTGGCATGTACGGTAGTACAGGCGATGACATTGGGGAATTGCACTCACCAGTTGTCACCAGGAAACAAAGGCTCACGGCTCTTTGCGCTAATTTGCCACGCATGGATCACTTTCTGCAGAAATGTCTCTTGATATCAACCCAGGTCCTGTGAAGCCAGGCGCGACTGTGCCGCAGTACCAGCAGGTGGTCTTCATCTCAGCGGAAGGCGAGGGCATTTTCGCGCGCACAGAGCCAGGAGTGTGACGCCAGGAGACCGTCCATCCGAGGGTGTCAGTGCGTTTGGTACCTGCCTCAGTCTTGTGGAGCCTTGAAGCTGGGCCCGTTGTCTGCTTCTCAGAAGCCCGAGCTTGTTTTGAGTCACCGGCTGGCCCAACCACAAAGTAAAACTAAACGAGGTTCAGAAGCTCATCCCTTGTGAGTTGCAGCTTTGGAAAGTTTGTTGACCCCTTGTTGAATGGGTTTGGAGCACAATGGTGTGGGTCCCCTGCCTTTCTGACACCTGGCTTGGTTCAAAGGGAAACCCAAAGAAAACCTCAACCAGGGGGTTGAGTTTCAGATCAAGGCCGCGAAGCCATGATCTCAGCCTCGCTTCTGCGGCGTGCTGGCCAGGGCACACTGGCGCTGGTGCCCTGGTGAGAAACCGAGACGTCCCGAGTGAAGATGTGCTGTTTAAAGGCTCGGGGCCAATTGTTTGGTCGGTTGCAACCATGGGTACCCCTATTTTGCTTGAAACCAAACGAAGGATATCGAGCCTCGAAAATGCACAACCACATGTTGAAGGGTTCCAAGCATGACTGTCCGTTGATGGTTTCCCGTTTGGCCAATAGCGGGTGATTTCGAGGATCTTAAGACGGACCACGACCAGTAATCATCCCCCAAGCAAAAAATGGCGCTGCCCCCGGGTCGATTGATGTGGATTTCTCTGGAGCCTCGCGGGCGTTGCTCTCGTGGCCTTCATCTTTCAAGCTTGTTCCGGGTTTTCGGCCTTGCCCCCTTGTTGTGGGTTTTTTGGGCGAAGAAAAGACGTCCTTTGGGGGGGTCCAGGTATGTGCTGGCAAGAGGTGATGTTAAAACCAAGCAAAAGGGTTGAAGATGAGGCGCCCATGTGGGCGTCCGCGTATTTTGACACACACCCATGTTAGTCTGCGGATGTTACGGTCTCTAAAAGTTGAACCACCCCGCAGACCCAAATACCCTTTGCGTGTATGTGTGTATTGGTTGCACGTGCAACCCACTTCGCGGTGGGTTGTTATGGGATATCAGGGGCTGGCAGCCTTCGAATCATGGAACATCAGCAAACACTTTCTAACTTGGTGGCTCACAGCCATTCACTTAGCTTTGCAGGTTGTTAATTGGTTTAGCGGTAGGGTCCGTATTTCATCCAATAAATGTTAGTCACTTTTAGGGGGATCAGAAAACGTCACTTGTAGGGGATCTTTCCGTATTTGACTCCCTAAAAGTTTGTCACTCAGGGATCTATCGGGCCCAGCTAAGTGCCTGGAGTCTCCATGACCCTTAAAAAATGGGTCAATGACCCCATTATTTTGGGTAATGACCCCATTTTTGAAGGGTCATGGAGACTCCAGGTGAATGCTTCATCCCATTGCCGCGATCCGAATACGCGCAGGTGGACGAGTTCGGCTCTGGTACCGAGCCTCGCGCTGCCAAGGCACCGCACAAAAATTACCAAACAGAACAAAAAGAGAAGCCAAAAAGGGAAGCGAAACAAAGGTTTCCTTGAAGGTGCCTGTTTCCAAACCAACAAGCAGAATTGTTTGTTGGCACCAAAGACAAGCAAGAATTCAAAGAAAAAGGGAAGCATGAACTTCCAGCGAGTGGAGCGTTTCTGGAGATTTTGCCACGTTCCCTCCTTCACTTCCGAGTTGAGATGGTTTCAGGAGAAACACGCATAGGAAGTCCAGGAACTCACGGATTGAGCTCAAATATGAGACAAGCCTTTCTTGTTTTTTCAGGAGCCCCAGGTGCTTCTTCATTTTTTGACTCGTCAGGCAGCGGTTTGCGCACTCCTCGAGGAACTCTCCGCGCAAAGCACGCAGCGCCTGGGCTTGTTGTGGAGCAACCCAGGGGGGTCCCCAAGAGGATGGACAAGGCTGTTGGGCTCTTCTGTTTGGATTTGGCGGTTTTTGCGATTGTGTTGGGTGTAGTTGTCTTTGAGTGTTGTTGGTTTTGTCGTTGTTTTGGACATGGCGTCTCAGAAAGGATACACACAGTCTCAAAAGAATGGAACTCCCACGGTGCCCAACTCACCCACCCCATTCGGTTCCAATCAATCCGCAAGATCCTCATGCTGCTAGGTGGTAGTGGTGTCCCTTTGAATGCTCTCGCACTTTGGGGTCCCACTGATTTTAACATCCCGTTGAGACGCAGTGTCGATGTTTATTCAACTGCCCCTAGAAAGGTTCTCAGAACCCTTCCAACAAATTCTCAGAAGGATCTAAGAATCCATCCTGAGAAAGGCCTAGGTTTGTCCCCTGCCATTTATTTTTGGTTTCCAGCTTCCCTTTTCGGGCGGCTGAGCTGGAAATGAGCCGAGCTCAACTCCAAGGTCCTTCACTGGAGGTCTCCCTGAGTTTCCGGCTGAACTGTAGGGCCTAGGAAATGTGGAAAGAGTCCATAAGGTCGTTTGGAGGAATCGCGGGGCTAGATGCCGCCATGGCCAGGGGGGGAATGTTGAAATTCCCTTTCCACAAGGAGCAAATTCGTGAAGCATGGAAAGCTGTGAAGCATCGGTGCGGTTCCCCCCTCTCATGGCCAGAGGGTTGGTGAAGCATCGCCCCCTCTCATGGCCAGAGTGTTGAACTTAGGTTCGTGGTGGCCACTCATCTCCACGACATTGTGGATGTGGACCTCAGCGGCGCGGCGGAAACAGAAAACAAGAACCGCATGTCGCCGCCTTCGAGCCTTTTGTCTGGCTGAATCCGTGGTCAAACAAAAAAAACGCCTTAGTATGGATGCACCCCCAAAACGGGTGGCTTCCGTTTGGTTGCCCTTCACCATCCAACAATGGCCCCCCAATTTTGAAGCTGCGTGAATGCTGAAGGATTTTGAAGCTGCTTGCATGGCATGTGGGTGATTTGAAGGGTACCTGGAGTCGCCATGACCCTTCAAAAATAGTTGGTCATTATCCAAAATAATGGTTGGTCATTGACCCATTTTTTAAGGGTCATGGAGACTCCAGGTACCCCTTTTCAGGTTGGCTGGGAAGCAAAAAGGAGAGCCTTTCGAATCAATCGTTTTGGGGTTTTGGGGTCCCAGAGGCCTTTCTTGACACAGACCCGTGTCCTTGTGCCTGAGGTTTGTCAAGGATGACTACTACCATAGTTTCCCTCCCAACATAGAAGTCCACAACTTGATCCCACTTGGAATAACACTTATATAAATGAGGATTGACCACGACCCGTTGGAAAGTGCTGCCCTGCCACAAACATGGAAGTGCACAGACAGACCCCTTTTGGAAATGCAACTATATGTATACTGGAGGATTTCATGCTACCATAGCATACCATGCCATAGCATGCCATAGCTACCCAATGTCGGAAAACACAAAACGCATTCCCTTCGCCTGCAACTGTTCCGAGGATTGGATGGCAAGGCGCAGCCCATCGCGTGGCGCATGGGTATGAAGAAGACCGGAGGGCCTCCTGGTATGCAAGTAAGCTGCCAAGTTGTTACGGGTATCGGATGTAGGTCCGAGCGACTTGGGAATCCAAGTATTTTTGTTCAGGTTTTGAAATTATTGCAAACATGGGTTTCTTGTGGGCCGTACCTGAACCCCTTGTGGGGTGTCGCTCGGGGTTCCACATGTGTGCTTGGAACTAAACGAGGACCCGATGTGTCCGATGTGTCCCATGGCAAAGGCCAACCAGCCACTTGGACATCCCTTGAAACCAAACCCCAGGCCGCCAAAGGGTCAAAGCGCATCACACGGTAAGGAACCCTTACCCAGATGCTGGCAGGCAAGTCACTACAGTCGGTAATCCTGCGTTATGACTGCCTCTAGGTTTGGCATCATCGTTCCTATGGTTACCTACTATAGTGGCTTGCCTCCCTGGTGTTGCTCCCCGAACGGAAGCTCCTGTCTTGGGAAATGGCGCGACCGTTTTGGCGGCTTCACATCTGAACACCAACCCGTGGCCAAGTCGAGTCTGGAGGTTCCCGGTCTGGACCTACGCCTTGGAGCTGGGCGTGTGCCGGGACTCCTTGGCCGCCCACACCTTGGAGCACTTCGGGTGGCCGGCGCGGGCCCTCGGCCGCTTCCAGGCGCTGCTGGCGCCGAACGCGGCGCAGTCGGAGGTGGAGATCGGCGAGTGGGTGAAGTTGATTTTGGTGGGGGTGGGCAGGGGCTGGGGAAGGTGAGCTGGGTGGTGGGCTGGGTGGTTGGGGGTTGGGGGTTGTGGGCTGGGGTTGGGGGTTGGGGGTTTGGGGGCTGTGTTTGGGTGGTGGGGTGGGGCTGAGTGTGGGCTGGGAGGGTGCATGAGTGGGTGTGGGTTGGGTGGGTTGGGGGGGTTGGGGGGGTTGGGTTTGGGGGTTTGGGGGGTTGGGGGGTTTGGGTGGTGTGGGTGTGGGTTGAGTGGGTGTGGGTTGGGTGGGTTCGGTGGGTTCGGTGGGTTGGGGGAGTTGGGTGGTGTAAGTGTGGGTTGAGTGGGTGTGGGTTGAGTGGGTGTGGGTTGGGGGGGTGTGGGTCAAGGGGGTTGGGGGGTTGGGGAGGGAAAGGGTTTGGGTTTGAGGGCGCCCTTTCATCAACTTGTTCATGCTGGTTTAGAGGCCAAAAAGGAAAGCAGCCATTTGTGGGGGGGGGCGCCCGAATTGAGAACACACCCCGCTTGGGTTTCGGGTTGCGGTTTCTGTGATACCAAGGGAATCCACTGTAAGGTGAGTTGTTGGCAATCAACCGCTTTGGTATCACAGATTTCAGGGCCCGCTATCTGCGGGTTGAAGCAATTTGAACACGGGGTTGGCAGTGTTTCGGGGCTTAAACATTATACCTGGAGTCTCCATGACCCTTCAACCATGGTTGGTCATTACCCAAAATAATGGTTGGTCATTGACCCATTTTTAAGGGTCATGGAGACTCCAGGTACGTGTGTACTACGTTGGTTAAGTTTCCTTTGTGTTTAAACGAGGCATAAGGACCCGGTTTCGCCCAAAGGTGACTTGCCCACGTTCGCCTGAAGCTTAACCCTCTGGGTCGTTTGGGCAAGCGAGGTGTTGTTCTTGACCCAAAGGGTCAAAGTACCTCAGATTTGCCAAATTTGAGGAATCTGTAATACTGCAATCGACAAATCCCCTTCAACTAAACCCAAACCGTTAATATTGGGTACTTGGACCCGCTGGGTTAAACGGTCAGAAGATATTTGAGTAGCTTCGTTTGAGGACATGCGTGTGTTGTCTTCTTTGGGAGAGAGGCGAGAGTTAAAATTGGGCGCTGGCTCAAATCGCGGATTCAGGAACGGCCATGTGGGTGTTGCTCCAAGTAGGGGAACGAACCCCAAATGGCTTGTTTCCTGTAGATTTCACTTTAAAATCAACAAACTATGTTTCGTGAGAGCCCCCCGTGAAACTCGCCTACTGTGATTTGGGGGCAGACCATTTTTGGGCCGCAAATTGACCATCCAAGAGCTGTCTCGCAGCTGTTTGCTTGGCAGAGCCAGGCTGCGATTGAGTGCTTGTACTTGTCCCGCAATGATGATTTTTGTTGATGTCGTGGGTCTTTCGGAAGCCAATTCTCAGGACCCGAGTGGTTCTCCGAACGCCCCCGAGCCGGAGCCGGAGCCCGCAAAGGAGCCGGAGCTGTCGGAGGCGCGGTTCCATGTAGCTGCCAGTGCTTCCATTGCTGTGCCACTGTAGCAGATAAGGGGAAATCATAATTTGAGATAGAGGTGAAATACTACCTCGCTGCCTGCTAAAGCGGTAATTGGAGCGGTAATTGGAATCACTGGCTGAGCTTGGACAGTTGGCGTTTGATTGTGCCGATGGAGGCATCGAGCGTCGACTCCGTAGAAGCAGTCACTGAGATGATGGCGGCACTCAAGGTAGGCGCCTAAGTGATCCGTTCACGCTGATGGCTTTTGGGTTCCTTCCGTTGATCTACACGGGAGTAGATCACTCATTCATGTGGTGTTGTTGTTTGCCGGAGGAACATCACTCAAACTATCTCAAACTGGGAATCTGAATTGACCTCGTATGATTCTTGGGACGCGATTCGGAAAGACAGAGCTCCCACAAAAGCTGCACAGTGCTTCCAGGTGTCTCGCCACTATAGTTGGCAACCTTTTGGTATGAATCGCTACCTCTAGGTTTTACATCATGGGGACACCCTGGTTACCTACTCCAGTGTCGAAACGCCAATCGGAAGCACTGGACAGCTTCAGCGGAGCCAAAATAAGCAGCCTCAGAACTGGGCCTATGGGGTATGTTGGGTCAGGGCCTTTCCGATTTTCCCCCTTTATCAGGATCAAGCATTGCAGTGGTATGGTCATTCGAAGAGTTGTCTTTGTTGAATAGTGCATTTTTTGGGGTGGCCGCCTGAAAATGGGTGGTTTACTTTCAGTGCCCCTTTCAAAGCGCCAGCAAGGGGTTGCCTTAGCGAAAGGTCGCGCAATGTGCGGTGTGGAAGCATATTGGTTTGCGTTGATTGCCGTTTAAAGCCACCAACACAATGTTTTGGGGGACAGCCTGCCCCCTCCCCGCGCCGCTGAAACACAACACACCCCCTCGGCGAAACTGAAATTAACCAACACTGGGATATTTTTTTTGGGGGAGTTGGGCGTGTATCTTTGTTTTGAGGGTTTAAAGTTTAAAGAGAAACCAAAAGAAGGCGCCACAATTTTGGGGTCCCCTAGTTCAAGCAATACGCAGTTTCCACCGAGCTTAAGTCGTGAACAGCCCTGCTTGACTTTTGTGAGGATGAGAGCGATGTCCTGCTGCTGCAGCCGCAAGACATGCTGCCGGCACCGCTGTGCGCAGGAAAAGCGGTGCTCTACGCTTTGCTCCTGAGCGGCCGGCTATACATAGGACGGAGCCGAATGGAAAGCCATGCCTTCTGTTGGCGACATGTGGCAAGATCACACGAGCTCACTATGAAGATCCTTTGGGGGATCCCGTATTTCTGGTTCTGGTTTGCTGGAACATTGCAAGATGTGCTGTGGACAATGGCTGGGTTTAGGGCAGGCCACACATGTAAAAGCCACAACTTAGAGAGTGGTTTTTGAGAATGACCCCCAGACTTAGACCTCAAAGTGTCCCCTGTTGTTGAACTCAGCTTCCTCCAAAGATGTGGCCATGGTTATGGACAATGGCCGGTTTAGGGGAGGCCACTTTCTGTGAGATTTCCCCAATCATGACAACCCAGTCATGCGGATGGTCACCTGTTGCATTGCTTTTGGGGTGGGAAACCCCTTCAAATCATCGCCTGTAATGTTGAGACGATGTGTCTATAGGAGGGGAACATGATGGTTTCAGTGCCATGTTTGGTGACACCAAATGAATTCCATGAAACACACGTTGTCATTGAATGTCACTGGTTATACATAGGAACGGGCCACATTGTAACGAGCTCACCGATCCGAGGGTAGAACGAGCAACTCTGCCCATGATGTTGGTCCATCATTTATTCAATTTCCTTTCCATGGTACCGGGTATGAAACAACTCAAAGGAATGTTGGAGGGTTCTCGGAATGTAGGTGAGAGGAGGTCCGACATGTCAGCTTTGAACAAATCGGGGATCGCTTCAGTATACGTAGGAAGTGGTTCCGAATTACTGGTACTAAGAAACCAGCTACATGAAATTCCACGATTCAAAACCCATAGGATATTTACGGAAATCCTGATAGGGGGTGATGTTTGTCTTGTACCCCTTTACCCCCAGCGGCTTTAGACGCAGAGTCTTCAATGATGTACGTAGTGTTTGGCCAAGCAAAGTTCAAGGAACTCGGACACAGAACAGCGAGACAAAGTGGCTGGCAGTCTAGAGGTGAAGCGGCCCTCCCAAATTTGAACCACACAAACCAGCCTACCCAATTCTCCGATGTTCTCTTGGGAAAGCAGGTAGTTTGTGTTGTTTTTGTTCTTTATTTCTGGGGCTGATATGTGGCATGACCTTGGTACTACGGCAGGCAAGCGTTATAGTTCAGGTGAATGTACTCTTTGGATAATGGGTGCAAAGGCCTGCATGGTAACAATCACGAGCATGACCTGCGCACAATGAATTCGACCTTGGCACATACCGTAGATGGAGATGGCAGGCCCGCGTATTCAGTGCATGGACAAATTTATGCGACACTTTGAAACCATGAGAAGCCATTGGTCGCTGCTATTTACAGGGGGATCATCATTCCAGGGTTTCTTAGGTGGTGCAGGATTTCGTCCATCCACAGTGGGGTTTCATACAGTCCAGCTTGTGAGGGATCTGCCTGCCCATCCACTGTAGTTATGTCATCCGAATTTCACAATTAGTTGAAGAGAGACTAACAGGACACCAACTACTTACAGAAGGGGAAGGCAGCTCAAAAGTACCATTAGGCATGAAGAAATCGCTAAAGCACGACTTTCGTTGACTGCGCAACACTGCTCTATTCCTGATTCCTGAGTATTTTACTGGATGCTGAATGACCCAGACTTGAGTTTCCCAAACAGGATCCACACATGGACGGATATTTGTTAGACTTGTCTAGACCCCTACAAGGACAAAGCGACAATATGCAGCAGCGACTGCGACAGCACCGGCAACGCTTTGGTGAGCGCTTGGAGGGGCTGCTGCTACTTCCCGTGGCAACTCGATGAACACGACCTGGGTGTGGCTCAAAATTAAACAGGAGGGGTTACGCAGGTTTTGGCCCATGTTTCCACTTGCCAGGGTTCCATTTTGGTACCGGTTTTTTGAGCCACAGCCACCTGGCTTGGCCCTGCTTTCTCGACTCCCGGGCTGCTTTGGGGAGTCCACCCTGCCGCCCCACACTACCAGCACAAGCTCCAGAATGCCGCCCCACGCTTTTTTCCCAATGGTTTGCGGCTAGGGGATCTGTTTCATTAGGACCTGGCCCAAGTTCGGGTCTTAATGACTGGGTGTTAATTTGAAGCTTGCTGTTCTTGCTATGTTTTGCCACCAGTGACTGGTCTTGCGGTTTTCTGCTGGGTCGCTTGCGTACACAGCCCGTCTAAGCTCGTATTCACCGTGTTGCATCGGGGAAAAACAATCACCTGTTGTTCGGCCAAAGGCCATGATATGGGAAATTCACCATGACACACAACACCCATATCCATAATAGGTATCCTTTTGATCGCTTAGTTTGGATGGCACTGGTTGAGATGGG